CAGCACAGCAAGGAAGGCCCTCCCCGAGATGTGGTCCACGCGGTCCCTCCATCTTGACTTCCCAGCCTCCAGAACTGTGAGCCAACTAAATCTCTTTTCCTTATAAATTACTCAGTCTGTGGTGTTCTGTTATAGCCACAGAAAATGAACTAGGACAACATTCCCTAGCCATTTTTAAAAAGTAAATTTAACACTCTGGGAGGCCGAGGCGGGCGGATTGCTCAAGGTCAGGAGTTCGAAACCAGCCTGAGCAAGAGCGAGACCCCGTCTCTACTATAAATAGAAAGAAATTAAATGGCCAACTAATATATATAGAAAAAATGAGCCAGGCATGGTGGTGCATGCCTGTAGCCCCAGCTACTTGGGAGGCTGAGGCAGGAGGATCGCTTGAGCCCAGGAGATTGAGGTTGCTGTGAGCGAGGCTGACGCACGGCACCTCACTCTAGCCTGGGAAACAAAGCGAGACTCTGTCTCAAAAAATAAAATTAAATTAAAAGTAAATGTAAAACGTTTTGGCTATGCATAAGAAAAAAACAATTTCAGGTGAATATCTCCTGCTGGTGACTAAGATTCATAAATTTGGAGAGTAGAACTTTATTTCTTACAAAGGGTGACAACCTGCAGGTTGGGGACCATAGCCTCCAGCAGGAACCCAAAGCAGACCCTTCAAAGGAGGAAGAGTGAGACGGGAATTCATGCTGAACCATTTGGCTAAGTATCCCTATTTAACAAGTGAAACGAGGAGCTACGCATATTCCTGAAGGGGGCATAGTAAGCAAACATGCATGTTGCAAACATCTCACGGTCACTTTGGAGTGGAGCACTAACTTGACATTTAAATAAATGCAGTAAAATTAGGCTTGATACTTGAAAAGGTGAAGCAAAGGACACAGGAGTATCTTTGCGCAGCCTCTGCAAACCAGCCAGAACCAGTTCGTGGTCAGAGCCTCTTATCAGGAAGGAATGCTACTCAGCCGAGTCAAAACTGGAAAGAGGGTGGGGAGTCCAGCCGCAGCGTCAGGTGGTTGGCTGAAGTCGCTGGTGGAGCCAGGTGTGTCTGACCTTTCATCCGTCGGTTACAGAGGCAACTAAATACCAGCATGAGTTTTGGAGGGAACATTCGCATTATAGCAGATGTTGATCACTTTAAATATGTTTAACTGTTTTTTCTATTTTTGGGGTGAATTTTCTTTTTAAGTATTTTGCTCTTTTTTTTTTTTTCCTGTGAAGCCATTGTGTTTTTATTTTTGAGGGTTTTAATATGTGCCATATTAAAAGTCTACTTTTCCATTACTGCCAATTTCCTTTATATCTGTTTGAGATTTATTGCTCATGAATTTACCTAGACTCCTTTTGAACGTATAGGGTGATTATGTCCTCCAAGCTTCTAGAAGTTTCCCCTTGTGCTGACTTTCAGAGTTTGTCAAACAGTTCCATAGCCATGTTTAATTACCTTTCCTTTTGGCACTCTCCCCTCAGACTTTACTTTTCCAGCCCTTTCTGCTGGTTTTCTTGAGGTATATCTCTCACTCCTAAGTGTATTTGCAGGGACTAGAAATACATGAAGTATTTCCTGAATTGTAGAACTGTATTTCAAAATAAAGGTGCATACATATTGAACATATTTAGTTGCCTTTGAAGATTGTGAAGATGGAGGATGAAATTAGAGATTATGGATTAGCTGCTTTATCTCTTCATCTTTAGGCCAAATAGCGCTGTGTCCTGTCCCTGAGCTAGACCTGAATGGCGGTCAGTTTTCGCAGCATGGTCATGCTGTCGCCTGCTTCCTGTTGCCCACAGGATGAGATTTCCGTTGGGGTTTAAATCCCAATGTTGCAATTTACCTGCTTGATAACCTTGGACAAATCACACAGCGCCATTGGGCCTTTGTTTCCTTATCTGTGATGTGGGGAATGATAGTACACTCACCTCGTACCATGTTTCCTCGAAAATAAACCCTACCCGTAAAATAAGCCCTGGCAGGATTTCTAAGCATGTGCACAATAGAAGCCCGACCCCGAAAATCAGCCCTAGTGGTGGGCGTGGCTATGAAAACCAGCCCTAGTGACGGGCGTGGCTATGAAAATCAGCCCTTGTGATGGGCGTGGCTATGAAAATCAGTCCTAGTGATGGGCGTGGCTATGAAAACCAGCCCCGGTGACGGGCGTGGCTATGAAAATCAGCCCCAGTGGTGGACGTGGCTATGAAAATCAGCCCTCGTGATGGGCGTGGCTATGAAAATCACCCTGGTGATGGGCGGCTATGAAAACCGCCTTGTTGATGGGCGTGGCTATGAACAACCAGCCCCGAGTGACGGCGCATGGCTATGAAAATCAGCCCCAGTGGTGGACGTGGCTATGAAAATCAGCCCTCGTGATGGGCGTGGCTATGAAAATCAGCCCCAGTGGTGGATGTGGCTATGAAAATAAGCCCTCAGTGGTGGCGTGGGCTATGAAAATAACCTAGTCGGGGCGTGGCTATGAAAATCAGCCCTAGTGATGGGCATGGCTATGCTGCGCAACTGCACAACCCATGCGTGTTGTCGCGGAGCGGGAAAGAACACGAGCAGCCTTCTCCATCCCCCCGTGAGAGCTCTAGTGCTGGACAGGAGAGATCGGGGCTGGTGGTTCTAAAGGAAACAGAGTCGCAAGACATTCAGGATGGGATTCGGGGTTTGGAGAGTGAGGATGATGTTCCAGAAGAAGACTACTTCACTCGGTTTGAATCAATGTAGATGGTTGTACTGTACTTAAAAAAAATAACACATGCCCTGACAATAAGCCCTAGGGTGTCTTATTGGGGAAAAATAGATATAAGACCCTGTCTTATTTTCGGGGAAACATGGTAGAATGGGTGTGAAGATGAAATGAGATCTCATGATCTGCCTCACTAGGGTGGCCTTTAAGTTTGACCGTGCCTTTTAAAATGTTCTAACTTGTCATTTGGATCCTCTTACCTGCCAATAAGGGCAATGAGTCTAGGATACCGTATTTGAAACCTTTTTTGCCAGATAACTAGAACAGCCTTCTGAACCTCCTCCGACCCCAGATGGGGAGCAACATAGATAAGCCCAATGAGTCCACTGGTAGGTCCTGGGTGTTTTGTGTTTTTTTTGTATCTTTAAATTTTATTTTAGGCCGGGCGCTGTGGCTCACGCCTGTAATCCTAGCACTCTGGGAGGCTGAGGCGGGAGGATTGCTCGAGGTCGGGAGTTCGAAACCAACCTGAGCAAGAGTGAGACCCGTCTCTACTATAAATAGAAAGAAATTAATTGGCCAACTAATATATATAGAAAAAAAATTAGCCGGGCATGGTGGCGCATGCCTGTAGTCCCAGCTACTTGGGAGGCTGTGGCAGGAGGATCGCTTGAGCCCAGGAGTTGGAGGTTGCTGTGAGCGAGGCTGACGCCACAGCACTCTCTAACCTGGGCAACAAAGCGAGACTCTGTCTCAAAGAAAAATAAAAAAATAAAAATAAATAAATAAATTTTATTTTATTTTGTTTTTCCAGTTTTTTTTATATATATTTCAGCATATTACAGGTGTATAAATGTTAAGGTTACGTATATTGCCCTTGCCCTCCCTCCCCTCCTTCAAGTCAAGCGTGCCCATCCCCCAGACGGTGCACGTCTCACTCGTTGTGTTTGTATACACCCGTCCCCTCCTCCCCTCCCACCTGCCCGACCCCCGATAGATGTCACTCCTGTGTGTCCACTTGGGTGCTGATCTGTTAACACCAATTTGCTGGCGAGCGCACGTGGTGCTTGGTAGGTCCTGGTTTTAGCTGCTGTTGTTCCCATTGGGACTTTCTGCGCCCATGCGTCTCGCCCTCCCCACTCCGCCAGCGCCGTGTGCTACTGCCGCCACCACCACCGTGCCCTCTGGCCCAGTCCTTGCGCACAAGGTGGTGCCCGAGCTCTGGCTCCCAAGGTGACTAACCTTCAGGTCACATCCACATGCTCACTCATCGTGTCCTGTGTCGTCCTGTGACAGCTGTGCCGGGGTGGGGTGACTGGATACAGAGGAACACGTGCCCGTCCAGATACCCCTTTCTCTTGTGGGGGTGGGTGTCTTTTCCTGCCAGCACCTCCACTGGATGCAACCTAATTATTATTATTATTATTATTATTATTTTCTTTTGTTGCTTTCAGCCCATTCCTTCCTGTTGTAGAAGCATCCTAATTAATCTGGGAAATTCTGATAATGCTACATTTCAAAAGGGGAAATGGCCAAGGTCACCTTTCTATCCTCCCCCAGGAGGCTCCCTAAGGCCACCACGCAAATATCACCCCCTCTCCTTAGCTGTGACCAGCAAGCACTCAGCAAATCACAAAAGTTTCTACCACAGCATCCTAAGCAGGGATGGGGTGGTTACTAAACTTAAATTTGTACCACTAAAAAGAGCCAGTCGAGTGACTCTTCCTGGGAACAGAGAAGGTCCAATATGGGCCCTTTGATACTACCCAGACAGAAGTATCTGATACCTTCTCTTGCTAAATAAACTAAAAAAAAAAAAGGCAGGGTTTGGTGGCTCATACCTTTAATCCCAGTACTTTGGGAGGCCGAGGAGGGAGGATTGCTTGAGCCAGGAGTTCGAGACCACCCTGGGCAATGTAGTGAGACCCCCGTCTCTATGAAAAAGAAAAAGAAAAAAATTAGCTGGGCATGGTGGTGCGTGCATGTTATCTCAGCAACCCAGGAGGCAAAGGTGGGAGGATGGCTTGAGCCCAGGAGTTCAAGGTTACCGTGAGCTGTGACTGTGCCACTTCACTGCAGTTTGGGTGACAGAGTGAGACGCTGTCTCTGCAAATAGAATGAAGTTCTATTTCACCAGGCATAGCCACGTATGTAGAAAGCACGTAGCTCATCCCTGTCACCTGGAAGTGCTCGGAAAATGTTAGTTCTTTCCTTCCTCCCTTCCTCTCAGCCTGACCACACCTCTGCATGATTCAAGCCGGTGACACCTAACTTTTTTTTTTTTTTCTTTTTCCTTCTGCCAGTTCTCCAAGAACGCAACACCTGGCTTTCCAGAGACCTTCCCCGCCCCTCAGTGCCCATTCTCCGCGTGGCTCTGTGCAGATACTCTCAAGCTGACTTGCCTGTGGCCTCCAGGGAGGCCCTCCCATCCTGGCTGCTTTCAGGGTGTGTTTGCCTGAGGCAGCTTAGCCTCTCTTCAGAGAGTTAGAATTTACTTTACATTTGTGTCCGACTTGTATTTTTATACACCCAAAGTGCCCCGAGAGCATTCTGTCATGGAAAAGGATTTGCTAATCCAAGAATAAACAATACCGAGCTAGTATCTCTCTGGAGACAGGTAGAGGCATTTATGAAGTGTGTCTCGTTACCGGCCTGGGCCCCACAAATAAACTTTCTACTGTCTTTGGGAAAGGGCGTGGCACCTGCTTTTTTGGAGGTTTAGTTCCAAGGAACCACACTGTCCTTGTCTGGTTTCGCCTACAGTGCCTGGTTAGGCCGCAGGGAGGCACCTCTGGGGCACCTCAGTCAGACCTGTCTGTTCCAGATCTTGCACCTGACTACAGTCCCCTGCAGAATTCCTAGAATTCCCTTGGAGGCCCAGGGCCGTGGGGGTCTCAAAGCAGGCTCTAACCTCCAAAGCAAAGTGGCAGCTTCCTTGCATTTATTTGGGTGAAGAAATGAGTTTTCCACATTTCATGAGACATAATTAGGTGCTTCATATCATATTATTCTTGCAGGTGTTTAATAATTGCCTGTAGACACAAATTCCAATAGGAATAGAAAGAAGAAAAGCTGAGACTCATTCCAAAGCTCTCCTGAAATTATTCTTCGTCCCTCCTGATAATTTCCTGGTATAACTGGCCATCTTTTGCTTTCATATTCCCAACAAATGATTTTGCTAATGCTACGAGGCGTGGCTTTGGCTCAGCTGCCTGTGTTTTTTCCCGGAGTTAGCCTTTGTCTCTACATAACATTGCATCCTGGCTCTCTGAAATCCCCACTGAATTTGGAGAAATTATGTCTTGGCATCCGACCCACTTTCCTGGAACACAATGTGATGCTGACGGCATAGCCGGGTCACTCCACTTGACAATGAGTTTGCTTGTCTCATTTCATGTAAATACCCAGTGCTGAGTAAGAACAGACGTAGAAAGCCTTACTTACAGCCCAGTATGTCTCACGCGCGTGGCGATCCCTTGTGTAGTGCCGCTCCTGAATGAATCGATGAGATCTGGGATGAATCACCCGGCCAGCCAATAGCTATCGGAATCACTCTTCACGTGTGACTGCGTTGCATTGTTACCAGACGTGTCCGGATAGACCTGCCCAGCCATCCCCGCCGATGTTCATTCGCAGCGCTGCCTGAAGGAGATGAGGAGATGAGGTCAAACTGTTCCAGCAGCTCAGCCTGCCCGGCCAACAGTTCGGAGGAGGAGCTGCCTGGGGAACTGCAGGCTTATGGGAGCCTCGAACTTGTTTTCACGGTGGTGTCGGCTGTGATGATGGCGCTGCTCATGTTCTCCCTAGGATGCTCCGTGGAGGTCCTGAAGCTGTGGACGCACGTCAGGAGGCCCTGGGGCATTGCCGTGGGGCTGCTCTGCCAGTTTGGCCTCATGCCTTCCATAGCCTACCTCTTGGCCGTCAGCTTCTCCCTGCAGCCAGTGCAGGCCGTGGCTGTTCTCATCATGGGCTGCTGCCCTGGAGGGACCATCTCTAACATATTCACCTTCTGGGTGGATGGAGATATGGATCTCAGGTAAGTTAAGCCCAGGGAAGCTCATTGTTTTCCCCCCACCCCCAGATCCCCGCCTGGGGGCGGGTGGTGGTGGTGGGAGAATAACTGGCACTCTTGGTTTCAAATCTTGGTTCTAATCTTTTGGTGGAGATTCTGGTGGGAAACATTCCAAGCAGTACAGAGACTTGTTCAGCCATGGAAGGACTTTCTGTTCTGAGCTCAAAATTTAGTGTGCCGTGCTCAGCCTTGGCTTTGCTGGGAAGTGCTGTTCCGGGCAGTGGGATTTGGTCCCTGTGTGGTAGTGGAGGCAGGTCTCCACCTCCCCAGTGGCCCTTCCCAAGCATGAGCCCATTGTCGCCCACACTGGGTCATTGACAGCAGTCTCCCAGGACGCAAGTGGTCGTGGCTTGGTAGCAGTCATCGTGGTGGCAGCCTGACAGGACGAAGCCCCTGTAGCTCTAATCAGGAAGTGTTGCCCAAGTACCCACTTTATGAAATAAGTATTTTGGGGGCTGGATAAAGGAGCATGAGGGGTGTCTGATAGACATATCTTGCTTTAAGTGCCAGGTAGGCTTGACTTGGGGAGCAACACGATGACTCCCACGACTAGAATTGTTCTCTCTTGTTGCTTTGCGATGCTTAACCTTCATCACTGGATTCACATTCCTTTCAGCAAGCCAGTGACCTTATTCCCAATTATGGCGTAGATAAGTGCCCCTGGGAGACATTAAGCTTTATCATTCGTTTAATTTTTTTATTATTATTTTTTATTTTTTGAGACAGAGTCTCACTTTGTTGCCCAGGCTAGAGTGAGTGCCATGGCATCAGCCTAGCTCACAGCAACCTCAAACTCGTGGGCTTAAGCGATCCTCCTGCCTCAGCCTCCTGAGTAGCTGGGACTACAGGCATGCACCACCATGCCTGGCTAATTTTTTTTGTATATTTATTTTTAGTTGGTCAATTAATTTCTTTCTATTTTTGGTAGAGACAGGGTCTCTACCAAAGGCTGGTTTTGAACTCCTGACCTCGAGTAATCCGCCCACCTTGACCTCCCAGAGTGCTAGGATTACAGGCGTGAGCCACCACGCCCAGACCTTTGCCTGGTTTTTGTTTTATTTTGTTTGTGAGACTCAAAATTAAAATTTAGAAAGAAAAGGGGAAAAGTAGATAATATTTATTGCATATCTACTATATGCTTGGCATACTATATGTATACATATATATGTATTTTTTCCTCCTTATAATAAAGTCTTGTGAGAAATAGGCAAATTTAACCCTATTTTACCAATGAGGAAATGAGGCTTAGATAGGTTAAATAATTTGACCAAAGTTAAAATCTAATTATAGAGAGTGGTTGGCAAAGGGAAGTAAAATTAGCTTTATCTCTCATAGACTTACTATTACAATATTGACTAATACAGATGAAGGTAATAAATATTCTCTTTCCCAGAACAGAAGTGTTTGAGAACACTGTTTAAAGATTTATGCTTCTGGCCGGGCTCAGTAGCTCACGCCTATAATCCTAGCACTCTGGGAGCCGAGGCAGGTGGATCACTCGAGGTCTGGAGTTCAAAAGCAGCCTGAGCGACACCCCGTCTCTACTAAAAACATCGAAAGAAACTAATTGACCAACTAAAAATATATGTACAAAAAATTAGCCGGGTGGTGGCGCATGCCTATAGTCCCAGCTACTCGGGAGGCTGAGGCAGGAGGATTGCTTGAGCCTAGGAGATTGAGGTTGCTGTGAGCTAGGCTGATGGCATGGCACTCACCCTAGCCTGGGCAACAAAGTGTGACTCTGTCTCAAAAATAAATAAATAAAAATTTTAAAAAATAAAGATTTATGCTTCTACTTAAAACAGAAGATCTAGTTGTGTTGCTAAATGTCATGGGGGAAAATGCCTAAATTACAGACTGATGTAAAACAAATGTGGATTCAAATGTGAGCTCTGCCATACTGGTTTGTAGAATGTAAACAATCTGAATCACAGTGTTCTCAGCTATAAAATTCAGAGTAATAAAAGGTCGCTTACAAGGTCATTATGAGAGCAAAAAAGAAAATATGCATGAAAACATCTATTCCATTGCCTATCAGGGTACTTAATAAATATTAATTTCTGGCCGGGCGTGGTGCGTGGTGGCTCACGCCTATAATCCTAGCACTTTGGGAGGCCGAGGCGGGCGGATTGCTCAAGGTCAGGAGTTCGAAACCAGCCTGAGTGAGACCCCGTCTCTACCAAAAATAGAAATAAATTAATTGACCAACTAAAAATATATATACAAAAAATTAGCCGGCATGGTGGCGCATGCCTGTAGTCCAGCTACTCGGAGGCTGAGGCAGTAGGATCGCTGAGCCCCAGAGATTGAGGTTGCTGTGAGCCAGGCTGACGCCACGGCACTCACTCTAGCCTGAGCAACAAAGTGAGACTGTGTCTCAAAAAAAATAATCGGTAGAGACGGGCGTCTCAGCTCAGGCGGTTTCGACACTCCTGACTTGAGCAACTCGCCCACCTGCGGCGCCTCCCAAGTGCTAGGATTACCAGCCGCTGGAGCCACCGTGGCCCGGCCTTCTTAGCAATTCTTGCATGCTATTGTTATTACATGGAATCATAAAGATTATTTGTATCCTGTTAAGAATGTTTACTTTAAGCAAAGACTTCTTCCTGGCTAGAGGGTGGTTAAAGGAGAATAGCAATCTTGCCAGCAGCTCTCACCTCTGGTATCCTTGAAGGGAGGTATTCTAGGAGAGCTTTTCCAAATTTCCTAGACCTATGATAGCGACTACATTCCTTGGCTCTCTACGTTACCAAATCCTGAAAGGAATTCTGTGTTACATCACTTTAATCTTGAAACTTCTGGAGAACTAGCACAGCATTTCGCCACCGTAAGGGCTTTGCTCAAACAGGGCAGCAAAGGTAAAGGATTTCATGATTATGGGAAGCAAGGTGTAGTGAGATTTAATTGCTACATCCTTGAGCTACCTAGGTTATTGCTTCGATCCTTGTACACAGGTTTTAAGCTCAGGGATGCTCTATGCATAATGGTCAAGGATGGCAATGCGATGATGCCCATGTACTCTGCCAATGTACAAATACCAACAAGCTGGAAAAACACATGGCGCGAATGTGTGGTGGTACGGGTGGAAACTCGACGCCGTTTTATCCTTCTGGCTGTGAAATTCACGGGTGTATAGGACATGGCTAACTGGATTGCGTGGACTGCTCACATACAGGAAGATCGTGGCAAAGTCTAACTTTCAGACATAACAAGATTCCCTTGCACTAGGAAGGGAATGCATCATCATCTTCAAACTACTCACGAGAAAATAAGGAGACAGAGCAAGTCCGGACAAACAGGTAATCCTGAACCCTCCCTTTAAAAAGGGAAATTGCATATATGTGCATTACATTAAAATGCACTGTCAATGGATATTTTGCAATTGGGGGTTGAAATTATTCAAATCTTGTCTTAACTTTCAAATGCATAAAATCAGGAACTCTGACTCTCAAAACTATGAAAGTACACACTTGCTTTCCCCACTGAAAGAAATGAAAATTTATCTGGCTAAACAGATGGCACTGGGGTGTCTATAAGATCATGTCAATAGACTTGACCCTAGGAAAAGAGTTCAAGGCCCGATTTCCATCCCAGAAATATTAATGTTACCCTTGTCTCCTGCCTCCAATAATAATGAGTATTTACTTAGCCACTATGTGCTAGATGCTTGTGCCTCGTGATTTACATATTCCTTCTCTTTTCCTCTATGCATTAACTCTATTGTGTAGGTATTATTTCCATGTTATAGACAATGAAACTAGGGTACAGAGCCACAGAAGCTTACACAAAGTCACATGGGATTCATGTGACTCATTCCTGTCTCCAAATCCTTAAACACAGAGGACCACAAGAATGTCAGACAGATTTGAAGAAACTTAGTCCTATTTCCAAGGTCTCTGCTGAAGGACAAGACCTTCTATAAAGTTCAGAGGTCAAAGGTTGGCCTCTGAACTTCATAGACTCTACCACCATCAGTGTCCGAGTCCTTCCTCTGCAGCTGAGGATGCAAATACATCCTTAGGGAAGAATGGACCTCATCTGTATCAAAAGTTGTCAGACTAAAGACAGTGGAAGCTTGCTGAGTTGCACTAATAAACGGAGGCATTGCAGGAGTGTTTTTGCAATATGCACAGGTAATCAGAAACTTCCACCAGTCATTCACTCGCATTTATTGGATGGCCTACCACTGCCAGGCTGGCGCTGAGCATACAGGATCATGCGCCTCAAGCAGCTTGTGGACCTTAGGGGTTGGTGAGGCAGGTAAGCTAGCCTGGCTATTGCATGTGCCCTTCCAAGTAGATAAGAAAGAGCTGCTATTTTTGGCATTATGGGGACAGAGAGGAAGGGCATCTCCATGGAATGGTTTCAGAAGACAAAACTGTATCTATAAGTGTATCTGTAAAGCTTTCGAAAATTTATTATATTATACTCCCACTTTAAAATTTTCATTTTCCACAGTGTATGTTTGCTTGTGGTTTATTTTATTATTATTATTTTTTTGAGACAGAGTCTCATTTGTTGCCCAGGCTAGAGTGTCTGTCCTCTCACTGGCACAGCCTAGTTTCTCTCCCTCTCTGCAAACTCTAAACTCTGGTGGCTTTACTGTCTTTTTCTCCTGCCTCAGGCCTCGAGTTAGCTGTGACTTTCTCTCGTCGCATGATCTCACCTCTCAGCTATGTTTATTTTTAGTTTATTTTTAGTTGGTCAATTAAATTCTTCATTTTGGTAGAGACGCAGGGTCTCTAACACTATCAGCTGGTTGCAACTCCTGTCCTCTGAGTAATCCGTCCGTACCTTGCCTCTCCCAGTCTAGTGTCTCTAGTGTCATTACAGGCGTGTTTAGTCCCTACCGGCGCCCAGACCTATTGCCTGGTTTTTGTTTTATTTTGTTTTGTGAACTCAAAATTAAAATTTAGAAAGAAAAGGGAAAAGAGATATTATATTTATTTGTTCTTCTACTTATTTATTTTTCGCCTTGGCATACTTTCTATATATTATATTATATATATGTATTTGTCTTCTCTTCCTATAAAAATCTTGTGAGAAAAGGCCAAATTTAACCCTATTTTCCCAATGAGGAAATGATGTGTATGTCATAAGTTAAATAAGTGCTTCTGACTCAAAGTTTTAAATCAATAATTAATAGAGAGTGCGTTGGCAAAGGGAAGTAAAATTAGCTTTATCTCTCATAGACTTACTATTACAATATTGACTAATACAGATGAAGGTAATAAATATTCTCTTTCCCAGAACAGAAGTGTTTGAGAACACTGTTTAAAGATTTATGCTTCTGGCTGGGCTCAGTAGCTCACGCCTATAATCCTAGCACTCTGGGAGGCCGAGGCAGGTGGATCACTCGAGGTCTGGAGTTCAAAAGCAGCCTGAGCGACACCCCGTCTCTACTAAAAACATCGAAAGAAACTAATTGACCAACTAAAAATATATGTACAAAAAATTAGCCGGGCGTGGTGGCGCATGCCTATAGTCCCAGCTACTCGGGAGGCTGAGGCAGGAGGATTGCTTGAGCCTAGGAGATTGAGGTTGCTGTGAGCTAGGCTGATGGCACGGCACTCACCCTAGCCTGGGCAACAAAGTGTGACTCTGTCTCAAAAATAAATAAATAAAAATTTTAAAAAATAAAGATTTATGCTTCTACTTAAAACAGAAGATCTAGTTGTGTTGCTAAATGTCATGGGGGAAAATGCCTAAATTACAGACTGATGTAAAACAAATGTGGATTCAAATGTGAGCTCTGCCATACTGGTTTGTAGAATGTAAACAATCTGAATCACAGATGTTCTCAGCTATAAAATTCAGAGTAATAAAAGGTCGCTTACAAGGTCATTATGAGAGCAAAAAAGAAAATATGCATGAAAACATCTATTCCATTGCCTATCAGGGTACTTAATAAATATTAATTTCTGGCCGGGCGTGGTGCGTGGTGGCTCACGCTATAATCCTAGCACTTTGGGAGGCGAGGCGGGCGAGTTCTCGAGGTCAGGAGTTCAAACCACGCCTGGTGAGACCCGTCTCTACCAAAAATAGAAATAAATTAATTGACCAACTAAAAATATATATACAAAAAAATTAGCCGGGCATGGTGGGCGCATGCCTGTAGTCCCAGCTACTCGGGAGGCTGAGGCAGGAGGGATCGCTGAGCCCAGAGATTGAGGTTTGCTGTGAGCCAGGCTGACGCCACGGCACTCACTCTAGCCTGAGCAACAAAGTGAGACTCTGTCTCAAAAAAAAAAAAATAAAAATAAATATTAATTTCTTTTTTCTTTCCAGAAACTTTCAGGATCTGGAATTTATCACTGGTATGTGAACTTCATGCAAAGAATATTTATCATTTCGCAATTATGTAAATAATCAACATTATTGAAGAATTTGAATTAGCAATTCATTCAAATGCTTTGGCATTGGTGGTAAGATACAAAATTCATCAAGTGATTTTTTTTTTCCAAATCTCTCATAAGTGGATAACTAAAAGACATTGCCATATGAAAGTGAATTCCTAGTCTGCATGGCATGAGCCCATTAAAATTTATAGTTGAGGCGTGGTGGCTCATGCCTGTAATCCTAGCACTCTGGGAGGCCAAGGCGGGCAGACTGCTTGAGGTCAGGAGTTTGAGACCAGCCTGAGCAAGACCCTGTCTCTACTAAAAATAGAAAGAAATTAATTGACAACTAAAAATATATATATACAAAAAACTTAGCCGGCGATGGTGGCACATGCCTGTAGTCCCAGCTACGTGGGAGGCTGAGGCAGGAGGATCACTTGAGCCCAGGAGTTTGGAGATTGCTGTGAGCTAGGCTGATGCATGGCACTCACTCTAGCCTGGGCAACAAAGTGAGACTCTGTCTCAAAAAAAAAAAAAAGAAATTTATAGGTGAAATACGTTCCATACGCTAAACACTCAGCACATGCAGGAGACTAGACACCCATACCTGCAGCTAACCCTCACTGATGTCAATCCCTATCTCCATCCTCACCTCTGACTCATTCATGCATCATACAGTAAATCTCAACTAAATAACTCACATGCACGAAATAAAGATTTAAGTTTATGCGCAGTTCTGCCCCTGGGCAGGAGGCAAAACAGTGTGTTCATAAGTAAGCAGAGAACCTGGACAGACCATTGTTTTTAGCTCTTTCTTTTCTCCAATGCTGGCCACTCTATTCTTTCCCCAAATGCTCTTTTATTCCCCCATCAAAACATGTACCCCAGGCCCGGCGTGGTGGCTCACGCCTATAATCCTAGCACTCTGGGAGGCCGAGGTGGGCGGATTGCTCGAGGTCAGGAGTTCAAAACCAGCCTGAGAAAGAGAGAGACTCCGTCTCTACTAAAATTATAAAGAAATTAATTAACCAACCAAAAATATATATACAAAAATTAGCCGGGCATGGTGGCGCATGCCTGTAGTCCCAGCTACTTGGGAGGCTGAGGCAGGAGGATCGCTTGAGCCCAGGAGATTGAGGTTGCTGTGAGCTAGGCTGATGCCACGGCACTCACTCTAGCCTGGGCAACAGAGTGAGACTCTGTCTCAAAAAAAAAAACAAAACATGTACTCCAAAAAGTATGTGACTGGCTGGGCGCTGTGGCTCACGCCTGTAATCCTAGCTCTCTGGGAGACCGAGGCAGGCGGATGGTTTGAGCTCAGGAGTCCGAAACCAACCTGAGCAAGAGCGAGACCCTGTCTCTATTATAAATAGAAAGAAATGAATTGGCCAACTAAAAATATATACAGAAAAAATTACCCCGGCATGGTGGCGCATGCCTGTAGTCCCAGCTACTGGGAGCTGAGGCAGGAGGATTGCTTGAGCCCAGGAGTTTGAGGTTGCTGTGAGCGAGGCTGACACCATGGCACTTGCTCTAGCCTGGGCAACAAAGTGAGACTCTGTCTCAAAAAACAAAAAACAAAAAGTATGTGACTGATCCGTCTTCATTCAATTAAAACGAAAATAAACCAAGCAAAACATACACTGTGGAAAATGAAATTTTAAAGTGGGGACTATATATTAAATTTTCGAAAGCTTACAGATACACTTATAGATACAGTTTTGTCTTCTGAAACCATTCCATGGAGATGCCTCTCCTCTCTGTCCCCATAATGCCAAATATGTAGCTCTTTCTTATCTACTGGAAGGCACTGCAATAGCCGGGCTACTTACCTGCCTCACCAACTAGGTCCACAAGCTGCTTGAGGGCTTGTCCATTCCTGTATGCTCAGCGCCAGCCTGGCAGTGGTAGGCACTCAATAAATGCGAGTGAATGACTGAGTGGAAGTTTCTGATTACCTGTGCATATTGCAAAAACACTCCTGCAATGCACTCCGTTTATTAGTGCAACTCAGGACAGCTTCCACTGTCTTTAGTCTGACAACTTTTGATACAGATGAGGTCCATTCTTCCCTAAGGATGTATTTGCATCCTCAGCTGCAGAGGAAGGACTCGGACCACTGATGGTGGTAGAGTCTATGAAGTTCAGAGGCCAACTTTGACCTCTGAACTTTATAGAAGGTCTTGGTCCTTCAGCAGAGACCTTGGAAATAGGACTTAAGTTTCTTCAAATCTGTCTGACATTCTTGTGGTCCTCTGTGTTTAAGGATTTGGAGACAGGAATGAGTCACATGAATCCATGTGACTTTGTGTAAGCTTCTGTGGCTCTGTACCCTAGTTTCATTGTCTATAACATGGAAATAATACCTACACAATAGAGTTAATGCATAGAGGAAAAGAGAAGGAATATGTAAATCACGAGGCACAGCATCTAGCACATAGTACTCAGTAAATACTCATCATTATTGGGAGGCAGCAGACAAGGGTAACATTTATATTTTGGGATGGAAATCGGGCCTTGAACTCTTTTCTAGGGTCAAGTCTATTGACATGATCTTATAGACACCCCATGTCCATCTGTTTAGCCAGATAAATTTTCATTTCTTTCAGTGGGGAAGCAAGTGTGTACTTTCATAGTTTTGAGAGTCAGAGTTCCTGATTTTATGCATTTGAAAGTAAGACAAGATTTGAATAATTTCAACCCCAATTGCAAAATATCATTGACAGTGCATTTTAATGTAATGCACATATATGCAATTTCCCTTTTTAAAGGGAGGGTTCAGGACTTACCTGTTTGTCCGGACTTGCTCTGTCTCCTTATTTTCTGTGATAGTTTGAAGATGATGATGCCATTCTTCCTAGTGCAAGTGGAATCTTGTTATGTTGAAGTTAGACTTTGCCAACGATCTTCCTGTATGTGAGCAGTCACGAGATCCAGTTAGCCATGTCCTCTACACCGGAATTTCACAGCAGAAGATAAAAGGCGTGAGTTTCCACCGCACTCACACACATCCGCCATGTGTTTTTCCAGCTTTGTTGGTATTTGTAGCAGTTGGCAGAGTACTGGGATCATCCATTGCCATCCTTGACCATTATCATGAGCATCGTGGGCTTAAAACCTGTGTAAAGGATGGAAGCAATAACCTAGGTAGTCAAGGATGTAGAATTAAATCTCACACCTTGCTTCCCATAATCATAAATCTTACCTTTCTGCTGTTTGAGCCAAAGCCTTACGGTGGGGAAATGCTGTGCTAGTTCTCCAGAAGTTCAAGATTAAAGTGATGTAACACAGAATTCCTTTCAGGATTTGGTAACGTAGAGAGCCAAGGAATGTAGTGCTATCATAGGCTAGGAATTTGGAAAAGCTTCCTAGATACGCTCTTCAAGTATACAGAGGTTTGAGAGCTGTGGCAGATTGCTATTCTTCCTTTAAACCACCCTCTAGACAGGAAGAAGTCTTTGCTTAAAGTAAACATTCTTAACAGGATAAAATAATTTTAGATTCCATGTGAATAAAATGCATGCAAGAACTGCTAAGAAAGGCCGGGCGCTGTGGCTCACGCCTGTAATCCTAGCTCTCTGGGAGGCCGAGGCGGGCGGATTGCTCGAGGTCAGGAGTTCGAAACCAGCCTGAGCAAGAGCGAGACCCCATCTCTACTAAAAATAGAAAGAAATTAATTGGCCAACTAATATATATAGAAAAAATTAGCTGGGCATGGTGGCGCATGCCTGTAGTCCCAGCTACTCGGGAGGCTGAGGCAGGAGGATTGCCTGAGCCCAGGAGTTTGAGGTTGCTGTGAGTGAGGCTGATGCCACGGCACTCACTCTAGCCTGGGCAACAAAGCAAGACTCTGTCTCAAAAAAAAAAAAAATAGAAAATAGAAAATGGTTTATTTAGTAAATGATATTGACACACTTGCCTCAGGATGGGGAGAGATCTTTAACAAGACAAGAAACTCAGATGCCATTTAAAAAAAACAGGTTTGATTATATGAATGTTAATTAGGGCCAAAGTTATAAGCAAAGTCAAAGAGATACAGTAAGCTTGGCCAAAATATTTGCATTATACATGAGGATATGTATAATTTTGAAAGAACTCCTACAAGTTGAGAAGAATAAATCAGACAAGCAAGACTGTTTAGAGAGGAGGAATAAAAAGAGGCCACTAAACATGAAAGAAAGAGCAACCTCATAGAAAGTTAAGAGTGTAACAAAATAAGAGCAAGATACTTTTTTGAATGCTTTCATGAGACTTTAAAGGGATTGATCACATCCGCAGTAGGCAAGATTGTGAAATGCAGCAGTCTTTCTGGAAAGTAATCTGGCAGTATCCATTAAAATGAAAAGTACAGATTTTTACATAGCGATTCCACTTTGGCGAATCTACAGAAATAAAAGAGTCATCTCAAGTGCAAAATGTACACGACCGTTTGTTATGACATTATTTGTAATGGCAAAGAACTAAAAAGCAACTTATCTGTCATTAATGAAGTGATTGAAGAAATTATGGCATATTTAGATTATGGCATACTCTGCAGCTCTTTAAAAGAATGAGTTTATATGTACTGATCCGAGAGTATGTGTGTGATGATTAAGTGGAAGAAAAGCAACCAAGTTGTAAAGTATATTGTATGGTTTCTTTAAAAAGAAGAAATAGTGAAAGAAAAACTAGTATTCATTGAACAAGCAAGCATGAACTATAAGGACCGCTTAAGAGAAAAAATAAAAGAGAAGGGGTATATAAAAATACTCATAAATTTTTTAATTCTGGATGTATTTTGTTTTTTCTTTCTTTTTTCTTTTTTTTGACAAGGTCTCATTCTATTGCCTGGGCTAGAGTGCAGGGACGCAATCATAGCTCACTACAACCTCAAACTTCTGGGCTCTGGTGATCCTCCCACCTCAGCCGCCGGAGTAGCTGGGACTACAGGCATGCACCTCCATGCCCGGCTAATTTTTTGTGTATGTATTTTTAGTTGGTGAATTAATTTTCTTTCTATTTTTGGTAGAGACAAGGTCTTGCTCTTACTCAGGCTAGTTTCAAAGTCCTGACCTTGAGCAATCCGGCCCCCCTCAGCCTCCCAGAGCGCTAGGATTACAGGTGTGAGCCACCGCGCCCAGCCCAGACATGCTGTTTTATAGGCATGGTGATTAGATGGAAATGTTGGTAACATATACTCTGAGAAAGAATGACAGATGACTGAAGGCCCAGTAAAGTACTGGAGGACACTTGCCATCTCTGCACTTGACTTTAGACACACGAGAGGTCTCGTTCCTCTCCTGGGTGGAGCAGGAGGGTAGCCTGCCTCTCCCTCTGTCTGTCATGAATGACGTGAACACAGATTGAGCATAGTGTCTACAAAAAGCTTGTACGTGCTTAAACAGATTGTGTAACTTTTTTTTTTTTTTGAGACAGAGAGTTTCACTCTGTTGCTCAGGCTAGAGTGCCGTGGTGTCAGCCTCGCTCACAGCAACCTCAAGCTCCTGGGCTCAAGCGATCCTCCTGCCTCAGCCTCCCGAGTAGCTGGGACTACAGGCATGCGCTACCATGCCCGGCTAATTTTTTCTGTATATTTTTAGTTGTCCAGATAATTTCTTTCTATTTTTTTTTTTTAGTAGAGACAAATGATCTGCCCCCCTTGGCCTCCCAGAGTGCTAGGATTACAGGTGTGAGCCGCCGCACCCGGCCCTTATTGCATAACTTTTTCCAGCAATTGAAAGAAAAAATATTTTCTTGGTCTGAAGGTTATGCCATTTCCATTAGTCTTATGTCCTCTAATTTTACTCATGCTTTGTTTCACTGGTTCCTCACCTAGAGAGGTACAAAAGACAGCCTGAGCTTGGGAGCTGGGAGTGGGAGTGAGAGATGGAAAGAATAGATTTGGGGTGAAAGACGCCAAAAACTGGGGGAAGGTTGAATGGTAATAAATCTACTTGTTGTGTTCTCATTCTCCCTGATCTTTTGTTGGTATTTAGCCTTCATTTGGGAGCTTTCTTTTCTTAGCTTTCATGAAATAGAACCTCCCAGCTTACCTGTGAAGTGAGGCTGACACCACGGCCTCACTCTAGCCCAGGCAACCAGAGTGAGACTCTGTCTCAAAAAAAAAAAAAAAAAAGAATTCTAGCTCCGCACTAACCAGCTGCATTATCTTGGTCAACTTACTTTAACCTCTCTAAGCCTGAAAATCTAGGAAATTGAACTAGTAATAGAATCTATACTGTAGGTTTATTTAGTGAATTAAATTAGGTAGTACCCAAAAAAATCCCTGCGTAAGGAGATACGTACTAACAATAGCTATTACACTCTTAGCACTCCCTCGCACAAGCCAGTACAGACCATGTTCGGATATGGAATGGTGAGGTTCTGCTGCAGATTCCAGGACCGGGTGTAGAGGTAAAGGCAGAGCGGCATCATTCCCAGGGCAGCCACTGTGGAACAGGTTGTCATACTGATGCTGAAAGTAAATGTTTCTTTTTCAAGCAGAAGTTCAATATAAAAAAAAGAAAAAAAAAAAAAGATGATTCTTAGGAGGGAGACTTGGAAATTAAGAATTTAGTCTTTACCAAAAGCAACTCCGGGGACACAATTTCTTAGAGATTACATGGAGTAAGCTCCTTGGAGCTTGCGTCTCTTGTATTATTATTCAACAGGAGATGCCTGTATTTTTGCTCTAGGAAAAGATTTCCAGCAGTCCTTGTCATCTGTCAATTAACTCCTATTTATTTAAGCATCTACTTGCCCTAAACATTCTGCTAGGTGCTAAGGGGAAGAAGAGCCCATGGCACACACAGAGAAAGTGCAGAGACGTGGGTGGGCAAGGCTAGGCACAGTGGCTCACACCTGTAATCCTAGCACTCTGGGAGGCCAAGGCGGGAGGATTGCCTGAGCTCAGGAGTTCGAGACCATCCTGAGCAAGAGTGAGACCCCATCTCTACTAAACATAGAAGAAATTAGCCGGGCGTGGTGGCGCATGCCTGTAGTCCCAGCTACCTGGGATGCTGAGGCAGGAGGATCACTTGAGCCCAGGAGTTGGAGGTTGCTGTGAGTGAGGCTGATGCCACGGCACTCACTCCAGCCTGGGCAACAGAGTTAGACTCTGTCTCAAAAAAAAGAAAAAAAGAAAAACAAGGCTGGTGTGCAACTCATGTATATCCATAAGGAATATATAATTTTTTTTTTTTTTTTTTTTTTTGGACAGATCTCACTTTGTTGTCCGAGGCTAGAGTGGAGTGCGGTGCGTCAGCTAGGCGTCACAGCAACCTCAAACTCCCGGCTCAAGCCGTCCTCCTGCCTCAGCTCCGTAAGCTGGGCTACAGGATGCCGCCACCATGCCGCTATTTTTTATTATTATCGTTGGCCAATTAATTTCTTTGTAATTTATAGTAGAGACGGGGTTCCACTCTTGCTCAGCTGGTTTTTGACACTCCTGACCTTGGAGCATCCGCCGCCTTGGCCTCCACGAGGCTTAGGATTACAGGCGCGAGCGCCCGAGTGCCCGGCCTAGGATATATAATTTTTAAATTATCGATTAAAAGTAGGTTTAAAAAAGAGAAGTCAGTGGAGAGTAAGCTGGGAGGTTCTATTTCATGAAAGCTAAGAAAAGAAAGCTCCCAAATGAGGCTAAATACCACAAAAGATACAGAGAATGAAACACAACAAGTAGATTTATTACCATTCAACCTTCCCCCAGTTTTTGCGCCTTCACCCCAAATCTATTCTTTCCATCTCTCACTCCCACTCCCAGCTGCCAGCTCAGGCTGTTCTTTTGTACCTCTCTGGGTGAGGAACCAGTGAAACAAAGCATGGTAAAATTAGAGGAATAAAGACTAATGGAAATGGCATAACCTTCAGACAAGAAAATATTTTTTCTTTCCATTGCTGGAAAAAGTTATGCAATAAGCCGGGGGTGCGGCGGCTCACACCTTAGTAATCCTAGCACTCTGGGAGCAAGGGGGGCAGATCATTTGTCTCTAACTTAA